TTTCCCTTTTGTATTCTTAATGCATACCTCCTCTATTTTTGTCAATGGTGGAAGTTCAGCAATCCTTTGCAGTTTTGATGACAAATAGTTTTTCAATTGTAAATATTTAAAAAAGTGCTTTGGGGGTATTAAATATTTTTTACATAACTGATCAAATGTGAGCAGCATGCCGTCTGCATATAGGTCTTTAATTTTTTTGAATGCCTTCATTTTTCCATATTTTAAAACCTCCATCACTTTTACCAGGTGTGAGCAAAATATTCTTTTTAATTGTCAAAAAGAAAAGCATAAAAATTCTCAAATCCCGTAATAACGAGTGAACTTTAAAAGCACCAGTCATACTTAAAACAACAGAATAATTGGTGTCGTGTGGTATTTTCACATCTGCTGAATAAACTTTCTCTTCATTCAGAGCTGATACTGTAGATGTCCATAGGCTGCTTATCTTATCCTATAATGTGATTTTCTTTCTCCAGATGTCCCAGGACCTGTGAAGAACCTCCAGGTGACTGACACTGCAGATGGTGAGATCAGCCTCGCATGGGAGGAGCCTGAGAGCGATGGCGGCAGTAAAGTCATCGGCTACGTAGTGGAGAGACGTGATGAGAAGCGTAAGACCTGGACACTGGCCACCGACCACGCCGAAAGTCCTGAATACACAGTGACCGGCCTCCAGAAGGAGTCCAAGTACCTATTCAGAGTCTGTGCCCGAAACCGGGTCGGCAGCGGACCCACTGTGGAGACTGACGAAGCCGTGCAAGCTAAGAACAAGTTTGGTGAGATTTACTGTATTTATTCATCTTTTGCACACATTTAAATAATGATGTAAAGTAGTTGTGATGTTAGACAGTAAGCTTCACTTTAAGGTAACAAAAAAGATATAAAACTAAGTTGAAGAGATGTTACTTTTTTAGGTAAAATAAAAACAAACAATAGTTTGGTCAACTTTATAAATATAGAGACTTTATATTGCAAAATACTGATAAAAATTTGTAGTGCATGAAGTGATATCTTGGTAATGTTAGCTTATTGTTCTCATAACTGAATTAGACGGAGGCTAAATCAAATTATCTGAATATGGTGAGTATGTTTCAGATTAAACATTGATATTTTGATGAAAGGAAATTAAACAGAGTCTAGTTAAGTGGACAAAAGTAGCCCAAACTTCCAAGTTCAAGATCTTTGAGGTGCAAATTTAATTTGATACATAGTTTAATACTTGGATGCTTGAACATATGTTCTGTTTATCTCTGTAGATGTTCCTGAAGCTCCTCTGAATGTGATCGTGGGAAACGTCACCAAGTTTGGCTGCACTCTGTCTTGGGAGCCTCCCACGTCAGATGGAGGCTCTCCCATCACCTCTTATATCATTGAGCTGCGCGACAGGACGTCAGTGAAGTGGTCTCCTGTCCTGGTGACCAAACCCGATGACCTCAGTGCCATCGTTAATGATGTCATTGAGAATAAAGAGTACATTTTTAGAGTGAAAGCTGAGAACAGAGCCGGTGTCGGCAAACCCAGTGCTGCCTCGCAGCCCGTCAAAATCATGGATCCAATCGGTGAGTTTGGCTCATGGAAAGATGATTGGTTACCCTTTGTAGTAAGAACATGATTATCTAATGGTTAGATAAGGTTAGTCTGTCCCTCAAAATCAGGGAAAATCCAGACACAATATTGAACAGAAAGAAGCTAGCACTCCGAAGCAACTTAACTAGTTCAGTGTCAACTTTTCTTGCCTGCACACACTCTGGTTTACCCTAGGATACTTCTAACTTAACAGGTTTAAAATCTGTGTTTTCTGATCACCTGCAGAGCCCCCCAGCCCCCCTCTGAACCTGTCCTGGCAGGACCAGAACAAGAGCGCAGTGCAGCTCACCTGGGAGACTCCACTGAAGAACGGAGGCAGCATGATCACCGGATACATCATTGAACGCTGTGAGGACGGTTCGGACAAGTGGCTCCGCTGCAACGCCCGTCTCTGCCCTGACCTCTTCTACAAGGTACAAATCAAAGAAAATCATATGCAAACCAACACTGCAAACACAAGTTATAGAATATCATAGAAAGGTTATTGATGCACATGTTAAAAAAACAACCTTTGAGTAAAAGCCCTTTATCAGCTGCTTCGGGCTAAAAGCGTGTCATTGGATAATTGACAAAACAAGCCTTCCAGAGAGGGTTTAAAAAAACCTGTCATTTAAAAAAGGCATACCAGTTATTTCAAAGTAAAAACCTCACAAAACTGTCTTTTAAAGTCTTTTAAATACAAGGTTTTTTAACTGACGTTTGCCTCAGGTGTCAGGTCTGAAATATGGGACTAAGTACAACTACAGAGTGTTTGCTGAAAACGCTGCCGGAGTCTCTGAGCCTTCGAATATCATCGGACCTCTGCTAGCTGACGACCCACATGGTGAGATTAATGATGTCTTCTCACTTGGTTTTTGTATTAGTTCACAGTCCTCGACAAAGGCAGGCACGTTAACACCTCTGTCTCTTCTCCAGTTGGTCCAAGCTTTGACCTGAGTGCTTTTAAAGATGGCCTGGAAGTGATTGTTCCCCAGCCTCTCACCATCAGAGTCCCCATAACTGGATATCCAATACCTGTTGCCAAGTGGACCTTCGGAGAGAAGGAGCTATCCAGCGCGCAAGATGAGCGGGTTTTCCTCATGACAAGGTCAACATTTACAGAACTAATGGTCACTCCGAGTGTCCGTCCAGACAAAGGCATCTACACGCTGCATCTGGAGAATGATGTCACATCGGTGTCTGGAGAGATTGAAGTCAATGTTATTGGTACACCTTAAAAATCTTCCTTAAAAAAACTGAGCAGAGCCTTGACAAATGTTACATTTTTGTTAAAATTGTGTCATCGGATTTCTGTTTGTGTCTCCAGCTGCACCCAGTGCTCCAAAGGACTTCAAGGTCCTTGAGGTGACTCGGCAGCATGTCCACCTGAGCTGGGAGGCTCCAGAGCATGATGGAGGAAGTCCTCTGATTGGCTACCAGGTGGAGAAACGAGACGTGTCCCGCAAGACCTGGGTCAAGGTAACATCGGCTTTCAGAGTGTGCTGAACCAGCTGATCACTACATAATGTGTCATCTAATATTTAAATTAAAACACACACACGTGTAAGAGAGAGAGTGCTCTGTAATTAGCTGGCTCTGGGTATTCATGAACAGAGATGGGCAGTAACGCGTTACTGTAATCCGATTACTTTTTTCAAGTAACGAGTAAAGTAAGGGATT